AGAGATTGATGTTAGTTTTCCTGGACAAGCATACAACGCAACAGAGTGGACTAAATTGAACTCCCGGATCACTGCTCTCGAAACTGTACCGCGAGTATTATCTGTAATAAAACGAAGGAGATGTTGAGATGCATGAATGCATCTTTGTTCGAAGAGTGGATAAGACCATCCGTTTAGAGATGAATCCAACAAACCAGCAAACGAACAAAGCTGCTGGTGATAGCCTCGCCTATCATATGAGCATTCTCAAGGGGCAGAATTAACCTCTACCTCTAGTTTCATTTCCTCAAAACAAAAGATCTTATCCAAATTTTTAATTAGTCCTCAGACAAATAAAACTAAGAAGAAATACCTCAAACTCAAAAGCTTGAATGTTATGGTTTCGCCTTTTTCCAAATAAAACCCCGTGACCTGAATCGAACGAAGTAGAAGTTTAGGGATGATAACCGCTTGTGAAGACTTTATGAAATATTTGTTATGCTTGAGCTTAAGCTACAGTTAATAAGTAGTATACTCCTTTACTCCACACGGAACTATTTATCACGAAAAAAAACTTGGTATGTGACGAAACAAAATTAAACGGCATCGAGTAATACATTTGTGTTGTATATCAAAGTTTATTTTTTCTTAAGCTGTATATAAGGTGTTTCTTAGTAAAAGTATACGACTACATCCCCGGCTATTTGTTTGACTATTAAAAGGGAAAAATGGGTTACATTTTTAGAGAAACTGTGGTGCTGCGTGCATCAGCTGGGGAAAGGGGTGAGGGGGGGGAGAGACATAATAATTTGGTTTTATCGAATGATTTGGTAATGTAAATTAGTCGAAATAGAGAGTTCCTAAACGTCCCTTGCTCTAAAGGGAGAGCTAACGCTTACAACGTCAGCTATAGAAAATCATTACAGTGACCAATTTCCATATCAATTGATAAAACCAAATTATGTTATGAAAAGGAAAGTTCGCAATTGGGATCATACCTTTCTTCCAAGCTGCTTATTATTCTTTAAGAGGTGATTCTTGCTTTTACATTGCCATAACTACTCTTAGTGTTTTATCGTTCAGTGCTTTAATTTTCGGCGTTAAACTAAGCTTCACAAAGTGGATCAAACTTTTAGATCAATATGCATGAACTCATTTTAACCTGTAAACAATGGAATAACACTTTACAACAGCTTGTACTATACTAAATAAAGTTCAAGAATTGTAGAACTCACGGTAGATTCAATTTCATCCTTGAATCTCTTGTACAGCTCACTTTCAGGGTTTGCAAGTTCATCACTCCAGGTTTCAGCCTTAAGTCGCACTTCGAAGTTTACCTCGTCAGCTGAAGACGATAAATAAATAAACGATTAATTAATTATTGATTACTGACTATTAACCTTGAATTACTCACTAAATAACTTACCTGGACAGCTGTCCATATTACAAAACTGCATCTCAGTTGCTTGACCAATACAGTATCTTCCACCAAAAGCTGGTTTAGGATTGTCACACTGACGTTTTCTTGTTTTGTTTCCACCATTACAGGGCCTGTTACAGTTGGGCCATTGAGTCCAAGCACTCCAGTTGCCGTGAACTAGATTAATTAAACCATCGAATCACCAACTATGAGTATAAGTATTTGTGCGAGAAGCGAGAAATTATTTAGAAAATAACCCCTAAATGGGAACAGAAAATGCAATGAAGTAGCAGGAAATTAAAGTGCTTTGACTTGAAAATTACGGTGTTACACCACCACAACAACACCTGTTGACACAAGAGCACCCCGGGAAAACAGCCTTAGTTTACGAGATCTGAGAAAAAATAAATTGTATTATTTCCTGATACATCTCCAGACCATGGAACCTACCTATCGAAGGTACCTTTTACGCAGATACACTGACACATACCTACAGTCAGGGGAGCTGTTAAAGATTTAGAAAATCAATTGACATAACGGCACGTTGCAAAGAGAGACATCACAATAGCGTCATTGTACGAACTCAAGGTACTTCACGAGCTGAAAAAAGATCAACCCCGCTTAAGTCTAAGTCTAAGGGCTGAAATAACCGTAACGATATTTATGAGAATGCAAGCTCCAGAATAGGAAATCCAAGTGAAATGTCAAATGACGGAATGAAAGGGTTTAAACGGAGACCAGGCGACTATGCCCCTACACCCCGGCTATGCATCTAAGCAAGTCTAGGTATCACTGGAGACGATGTCTTACCTATTTTATTGCCACATGTATTACCAGTGTACTCTGAGGTACAGCTGCAGTTGAATCCTTCTGGGTCAACTGTCCTTGAGCAATTGCCATAATTCTCACAAGGATTTGGTATACAAGGATTGTCTGTCGATAGAAGAACTGAAAGGGTTCAAATTGTACAAGATCAAGAAGCAAAACAATGTAGCTCTCAAATATTGCTGAATTCTCGAGCTCTGGTTAAAAAAAATACATAAATTCGAACTTGGGTAGCTAATCGGATCGAGTGGCTCGTGTACCTTTGACACAAATCATAGTCGAACCTGTGTGAAGCGGCACCATACATTAAGCGGTCGGTCTTCAAAGTCCCGCAATTTTTACCCCATCATTAGTATAACTTTCACCTCTAGTCAGCGGTAGCGGTCATCCTTTACTGAGAGTCTTAACAGCCTTTTTGTTTTGTTCTTATCTGTATTGAACGGTCACATAAAGGGGAACCACTCAAATAAAACTAAGAGTGATCTCTTAAAGATATCCATTCTTATCTCCTGAAATCAATGTAGTAGTATCGTGACCAAGTTTTTGTACCATAAGAGGTCATATACGGAATAAATACCTGTATTAAGCGGTCAAACGGTAGTAAGCGGTCACCCCGCTATTTCCCGTGGTTGACAATTTAATGCAGGTTCAATTGTAGATAAAATGCCAAAGAGGACAACTAAGTATTAGTAGATAAAGAACGCGGACTAGAAGAAGAAACATATCAAACGGACCAGATAAAAGACATCAATTAAATAATTTTATTTTCAGTTTATACCTTGTTGCCTTGCTATAGAAGTTGGTGTTGTTGTTGCTGCTGCAGTTGTGGCTGTTATTGCTATGGCTTTGAGAGTCGTTATAGATACTCCTGCTGATGCTGACCCTTGTAATAGCGGTGTTACAGTTTTTGCTCCTTTTCCTGTAAGTAGTGCTGATGTTTTTGTTGTTATTAGTAATTCTGATTTAATTGCTTTCACTGTTGATTCTGCTGTTTTAAATCTTGTTATTATTGACGGTAAGTTTGATGCCGTTACAAGTTCTTCTTCCGGTGAATTTGTTGACATAGCTGCTAGTTTTTCTGCTGATAAATATTCAGAGGATGCTGTTCGTGTGGATTCTCCTGTTTTTAACGTTGTTATTGATGAAAACACTGGTGTCGTTGCAATTACTGGGGGTTCTAGCCTTGATTTTTTTGACACTGTCAGTTCTACTGCCGATAAATATTCTGACGATGTTGCTTTTGTTAATTCTTTGGTTACTAACTTTGCTATAGATGAAAACGATGGTGTCCTTATCATTGCTTGTGGATCTATACCTGATTTTGTTGACATTGTTGCTAGTTCTGCTAATTCAAATGCTGATGAATATTTTGACCACGCTGCCATTGTTGATTCTCTTGAGCCAAACATTGTTGTTGAAGAAAACGACGGTGTCGTTGCAATTCCTAGCAACTCAAAAGCTTGTTTTGTTGAAGTTTCTGTTATTTCAGTCAGTGCAAGTGTTGATAAATATTCGGAAGACGTTTTTCCTGTTGATTGCCCTGTTTTCAACGTTGTAACTGATGGCAACGATTGTGATGTTGTAATTTCTGGCTGCTTTAAATTTGATTTTGTTGAAGTTGCTGTTATCAGTGTTTGTCCTGTTGTTTCTGTAGTTGAAGATAACTGTAAAGAGTTTGTGACGAGTAACTCTCCTACTAGTAAGCTTCCCGTTATCGACTGTAAGGATGGCGTGGTAACAAATGCCAGCGCTTTTAGCGTTATCGTATACATTGCTGATACTACAGCTAGTTCTGTTGACGTCCCTACCTCAGTTGTTGGTAATAGTGATGCTGATATTGATGAAAACACTGGTGTCGTTGCAATCACTGGGGGTTCTAGCCTTGATTTTTTTGACACTGTCAGTTCTACTGCTGATAAATATTCTGACGATGTTGCTTTTGTTAATTCTTTGGTTACTAACTTTGCTATGGATGAAAACGATGGTGTCCTTATCATTGCTCGTGGATCTATAGCTGATTTTGCTGACATTGTTGCTAGTTCTGCTAATTCAAATGCTGATGAATATTTTGACCACGCTGCCATTGTTGATTCTCTTGAGCCAAACATTGTTGTTGAAGAAAACGACGGTGTCGTTGCAATTCCTGGCAACTCAAAAGCTGGTTTTGTTGAAGTTTCTGTTATTTCTGTCAGTGCAAGTGTTGATAAATATTCGGAAGACGTTTTTCTTGTTGATTGTCCTGTTTTCAACGTTGTAACTGATGGCAACGATTGTGATGTTGTAATTTCTGGCTGCTTTAAATTTGATTTTGTTGAAGTTGCTGTTATCAGTGTTTGTCCTGTTGTTTCTGTAGTTGAAGATAACTGTAAAGAGTTTGTGACAAGTAACTCTCCTACTAGTAAGCTTCCCGTTATCGACTGTAAGAATGGCGTGGTAACAATTGCCAGCGCTTTTAGCGTTATCGTATACATTGCTGATACTACAGCTAGTTCTGTTGACGTCCCTACCTCAGTTGTTGGTAATAGTGATGCTGCAGCATCAAGTTCTGTTGTCAAAGATTTTGAAATCACGGATGTGAGCTGCAGTGGTACAATTTCTTTTGAAATTCCTGAGGCTGCAGTTTCTGCTACTGCTCCTACAGCTGTTGTTGTTGTTTTTGTGGAAGGTGTTGATGTTGCTTTTAATGTTACTGCGGCTTGCTCAGTTATCTCAGTTGACCAAGTTAAAGGTGAGTTTTGTTCTAATTTTGGTGTTGATGATGTCCTTGTGGCCACATCTGCTTTTTTCATTGTTATTGTTGTTGTTGTTATTGATGAAGATTTTAAATGTATGTCTGACGTTGACGATTCTGATAGTGGTGTATTTATTGTTTTTGATAATAACGGCGTAGAGAATGGTGACAAAAATAACGATGATGACGTTTCTGGCCCAATTTCTGCTCGTGAGGTTAATGATTCTGACAATGCTGACCTTTTTACAGTTTTTGCTTCTGTTGGGATTGATAAGTCAGCTGAATGATATTGCTGAATGACGCTGGTGCGGATGTTTGTTGGCGAAGACGATGAACTTTGTAGAGGTATTGATACTGAGTCTCTTGTTACTTGTGTTTTTATGGCCGTTGTTTGTTGTGCTGTTGTTGTGTCTGATGTTGGCTTTGCTGTGGTAGTATCTGTTCTTAGTTTTGCTGTTGTTGTAGCTATTAGCTTTGCTGTGCTTGTTTTCGCTGTTGGTTGTGCTGTTATTGTATGTGATATTGGCTTTGCTGTGCAGGTGTCTGTCATAAGATGTACTGTTATTGTTACAGATGTTGGCTTTACTGTGGTAGTGTCTGTTTTTAGTTTTGCTGTTGTTTTATCTCTTAGCTTCTCTGTGCTTGTTTTCGTTGTTGGTTGTGCTTTTATCGTATCTGATGTTGGCTTTGTTTTGGTAGTGTCTGTTGTCACTTGTGTTGTTGTTGTATCTGAGGTTGGGTTTGCTGTTTTCGGTGTGGCTGTTGTTTCATGTTGCGTTTGTACAATAGTTGTTTCTGGCACCTGATTAGGATCTATAATTCAAAACGAATTTTTTGTGATTCTAAAATACTAATGGAGCTGAAGGAAGAGCAGCGTAACGGAGTAACAGAATAGGAGCTTAAGACCTCTGACTCCAGGCCTTAAAGCAAGTTAACTAACCCTTATAGTTGAATTAAGTTTCCGCTAAAAGACGAATTGCATTCTTTTTTTATAAGTTTCAATAGGCATAATGGCTGGCTGACTAGTGGCCAGCTCACAGTCTGACAACAAACGCCCCGACGGAAGGACTAGCTGTCAAAAAAAAGCTGCTTACTTAACCCTTACTTTATACAAAACAGCATTACCTAGACATTGACGATTTTCACCGTTGTTTTGCAGAGTACATATAAGGCCCAAAGGACAATTGAAATCGTTACAAGAAACATTCTCTGTAAAGGAATGAAAAAAGAAAAAAAAGGTGTAACTTTCATCGCGTTCTGAGAAATGAATTAAGTTCTTTCTCCGTAACAAATCCCAGTAAAGAAGGAAAAACCTAACCAACTCATATGCATGCAGTTTATGAGTGGTAATAAGACATCTATAAAGGTGTTTATAATTCAAGAAAGCCTCGACTTTTTCAGATATCCCCTCCTCCCAATCCCCCCTCACCTCCCCCAACACCACCTCCCTAAAGAATAAGAAAAAGCTCAAACCTCTACAAGTCACCAAAAAACTCATGTGAAAAAACTGAACACCGAAATGGGCCCTTTTCACCTCTCCAACAGATTACTTTGATGTAGTCTGTGTACTTACCGACACCATTTGTGCAGTAGCGCCAGGGAGGGGAACATTCTCCATTGTTATAGAGCTTGTACATGTAAAACGCGCCACAGTTTATTATTTTAATAGATTGTTCTTGCTGACATGCTTTGTTTCCTTTAGCTATACATAACTTCCTGGTAACTTCACCTTCACCAAAAAGCGGATGTTGACCTTTCAAATACAGACGGTCAGTGGTACCGCAACTTCCCTTAGCAGGGGCGTTATTTGTGGCAAGGGCGTTGCCTGCGTTTCCTGACACCACGTACCAATAATGCCATTCTTCCTTAAGGTCATCGCCATCACACCTGTCACTTGCATCTCTATATTTCTCTGACCGATCTCCTTGGTTCAGTTCTTTGTAGTTATCAAGATTACAAGGATCTACGGACAGAGGTAACATCAAACTAGGGAAGTTGATCCCCATTCCAATTTACTGGACTGGTTACTTAAACAAAGTTTTAGTCTTTGTATAGAAAAAAACATGTTCTAAACCATCTTTAACTAAATAGAATAAGAGAGATGGTAAGTTTTAAGCTCGGTAAAGGAATAGAGAAAGATGTTTTTCGTCTTGTCACTAAGCTTAACTTTTTATCTGAAATGATGATGTTTTCTGTTTGACGTTTTTCGTCTGATGATGTTTTTTGTCTTGTCACGAGCTAAAGCTTTTATCTGATATTTATTTTTGTGAACAGTGTTAAGAGAGCCGGAAGCTAATAGGGGAAATACATTTTTCGAACAAACTCAACCCTCTTATAGCGAAAACCTGAGGTCCACTGCTTGCGTAAAACCGCGGTTTGAGTAAGAGTTCGTGTAAAGAATCGGCCCACTATGTTGCAATGTTGCAGCTCATAGTTTCAAGAAGACTTCCATGCAGGATCTCCACCCCCAAAAAAACAAGAAAACAAACAAAACAAAACAAAAAATCAAAAACCAATAAACAATTATAATAATCATTTGCAATAC